CCTCGTGCAGAGGCCTAAGGCCAGGCAGAGCCTTGTGCGATGAACCGCCGTGTCTGGCGGAGCCACCTAGACGGGCTAACTTCTTGGAATTGCCCTCAGAGCCTTCAAGGGGCTTTTAGTGTTGCTGGTGTGTTTTTAAATTATGGCTTTCTCGTTAAATACTCGGAAGAAAGATTCCCGAGTGAGGTGGTTAGACAGTGGAACAGGAGCCCGAAGAAATGGTGAAATCTCCATCCTCAGAGATGTTCAAAACATGACTGGAGATGGGAGCCTGAGCAGTCAGATCTAACTTTGACGTTAGATCAAGCTTTGAACTTGGCTCTGCTTTGAGCGGGGATTTGAACCAGGTGACCTCCAGAAGTTTCTTCCAACCTAAATTGCTCTCAGAATTGACAAATGTATTCTGGTCTATGACTATAAAGAACTTATCCGGAGTATCAAAACTAAGACAGCTTATTTTCCCTTTGACTTATATTGCAGATACCCTAATAGCTCATTCCAATCTCCTGGCGTTTCTCTAATGCTCTCCCTCACACCCATCCCGTGGTTTTGGCAGCTGAATGGCGATGTTTGGCTGCTGGTTAGAAAGCGTATGTGCGCAAGTGCGTGCTGCTTGAGAGGTAGCAGCCGTCTACTCTAAATAACGTAACAGGCTGCGTTATAATCACTGTTGCCTTAGTGGGAGGCCTAATACCCTTTGTCTCCTGGTGCCAAAAAGCTTCCCTCGGCACTGCTGGAATGCAGCGTCTTTAAGACTGCTTTGTCATATTTGTTTGGAATTGGCCTGTGGGTGCAGAAATCGCTGGAGAAGATAGGAAGGTGAAGAGCAGGCTCATGTCCTTACAGGGGGAGTTCAAAAGAATAATGTGTAGTAACATGAGAGTATTTGGGTTTGTGGAGTAAGCAGGGGTTATTTGATAGGCTGGTAAGTATTTTGTAGTATGGAGGTTTCTCTGAATGTGTGTTTCTTGTGGTAATACTGGAGGAATTCATGGTAGTTCTGCTGTACATTCATTAAAGACTGCCAAGGAAATGTAAGTAGTTAAATTATGAAGTGCTGATTGAGTTCACAGAGTGGCAAGGGTTGGAAGGGACCTCAGGAGATCATCTAGTCCAACCCCCGTGCTAAAGCAGGTTCTCCTGGAGCATGTTACACAGGACTTGATGAGCAAGACTGGCAGGCTGGTAGCAGCAGATGAGGAGAAGGCTGAGGTACTCAACGACTTTTTTGCCTCAGTCTTCACTGGCAACCTCTCTCCTCACCCCTCCCGAGTCGATGGATGGCATGAGGGGCACCGGGAGGGCAAAACCCCTCCTGCTGTAGGAGAAGACCAGGTTCGTGACCACCTGAGGAACCTGAATGCACACAAGTCCA